TCTATAAATCCTATCTGTTCAGCTGAAGGCTGCCGTTCACGTAGAGGTACTCCGATGATGGGCCGAACCATTCGCGACGATGAGGAATTCCCAGGCTGCTGAGGATTGGCTATGAACATAATATACCTGCGCGTGACGATTTAATACGCACGGTATTTTTCGCGCAGACATAATCGTTCATCCAACACTTACTTGTCAGGTCGATCACCTCGCACTAAGATGTCAAACTGAATGCGGTCTCCCGGGCAACAGAACTCCTAAAGATATCACAGAAAAATGCCCCACGCCTGGATCGAACCCGGGGCCTCTACTTTCCTATACATAGACGGGCGATTAGTGTTGACAACTCCTCTTGCTCCTGGCATCAACTCTTCCTTCTTGATCGATTGAGCCCACAGTTCGAATTGCTCCAATGAGAGAACCAAAACCCATCGGCCTGGTGATGGGGAGGTATCATTACCTGAACCTCATGCAAGTCAACATGATGATACGCCCACTATTATTTATGCTACCACCCAAATTTCGGGGAAAAGGATTCTAACAAATGAAAGCCTAGCATCGCCCGACTCTAGACATTTTTCGAAATTCTCTTTCAAAAATCTATCAAAAATTTCATGAAGGATCGCTTCTCTACTATCAGCTCGTGGATGCTAAATGATTAGGAGCCAACGATGATAGATCATTTTCTAAAAGTACAACAGAGGGAAGTAGGGAAGCTTTTGATGGGAGCAGTGGATGGCGCGGGTGACAACCTTTTTGGTATCATACAAGGGAAATAGAAGATATACATTCCCATTGCCTCGAAAATGTAGGCTGTATAGAAGTAGTGATTAGAGAATACATTTTCATCTTCAGAATTGTAGAAGAAACACTTTTCGATAATATCGAATGCTTACTAGAATCGCTTCTTCAGCATGAAAAACTGTGATGAAACATATAGAAAAAAAGCAAAAAATTTTCGTAAAAAGGATACCAAAATTACTGTAGACGACCCACCCTTATCACCTATAATGATATCAGCTCTGATACGTCCATTCGGACCCAAGCCAAACGGAGGCAGCTCCAGCAAGGGGGCGTCACTCGTGGCGTCCACTTGGATGAGGTCACTGACGGCTAGGGGGAATAGGAGGGTCGATAGGAGGAGGAGCAGCCGGACTCCACTTTCCATGAGTTATTGATTTGCCGAAACAGAATTATACAAGTCTGACATGGTAGACTGTAAGAGGCACACACAAGTGGGATGTTTATCAACCTTAACCAGTCGAACAAATAAACACAACCAGTCGGGGAATGAGCGAAGCTATGATATGTAATGATGTCAGCTTACTATAATCCGAAGGTAACGAAGTTCCGCCATGAATAATGATGTCGTGAGTCTTCCAAATGGGGTATCTTGAGGTTGAGCTTGTAAGATACGAAAGAGGCCAGAGGTTGCTTCGAATTCGGTAAGGTATTCGATAAGTAGCGCCCGCCATTCTGATCGATATTGCTCGTGTGCCCAACCTACATATTCTGAGAAGATATCGCACGGTACTGACCTCCGAGGATATTTCTGGGGCGTCTATGCCATAGGTTGAGTTTTTATGGATTCTCTGAATAATCTCTCGGATGTCTTCCAAGAGGCTACTCGAACGAAGAATGAAATCGACGATCTACTGAGTCGGATGGGAGAGGCAGGTATGTATATACTATATGTGGTGCGGGGCGGTTATGCCACAGCCTCAAAGATATGCCTTAGTATCTCGGCAGCATTGTGTAGTTTTCGCAGTGAGATATGTATATCCTCTACGTCTTTTCAAGGCCTGTCGGCTGGGGCCGTTATGCCGCTGCTTCAAAGATATGCCTCAGTATTCAATTCCACAGGCAGACGAAAATTCTTATTAGCCCAGATTAAATAGGCCTTCAATACTGCTATACTTTTTCTTTAGTCGTATAACTTTTTTCGACAGGGAAAATCTCAATGAGTGTCTGTTCAGGTTTAAACTCCTCCTCCTCCTCCTCTTCCCAACGGTCTAGTCGGTCTGCCGAAAGTGAAGTTGCGATGCAACAGCGTTTGGCTATGTTGATGCAACAGCTGGTGAAGCTGACCAACCGATTGGAGGAACTGTCCAAGGGGCCACAAGGGACTCCAATGTGGCGGAAGAGGGCAGGGAGGATGCGTAGGTACCGGGAGGTCTCGGGTTCGGTCCTCGGTGTTCTTGTTTTGAAAAAAAAGCGCAGCGACTAGCCCTCGGGAAATTCCACAATTAAAATTGCCATTCTACCATCAAATGAGTCATCTGATGCAGATGAGCTCTGAAAGACGTATCGTGGACTTCATGACCGGAGAAATTCACAATTACGATAGGATCAATACCGTGGATTTGGAAAGTGATTGAAATTTCTGTTACCATGGTGAACTGAATCTCCCTTTTCTAGACATTAACACTAGTACAGATGTACTGTGAGTAATATGGCGGCCTTTAGTTCACTAGTTATTTAGTACTCACTTTGATGTTGTTGCAGGAGACGATCTCGACAGCATCAAAGTCACCACCGACCGGCTCTTGAGTCACATCTTCCGTACGCGTCAACGGGAGAAACTTTTTGGGGGTAAAAGTTCATCGGAGAGGAACGAGGCTGATGAATCGGCGGAGTCCCAATTACTACGAGAGCGGCAAGCCCTTCAAAGCAGTGCTGGCATGCTAGAGGGGATCTTGGGTCAAGGGACGGCCACTTTGGGGAAGATGTCGCAGCAGAACGCCGTGTTGAAGGTAATAACGAAACGTTAAATTTTGGTATGGAAAACGAAATGGTAATATAATTTCGAGGCGAAAATGAAGTCTTTGCGACTTCATGGTATTTTTAGAGAATTTCTGATGACGTCTGTTGTACGTACTCGAGTACTGACTCGATGACCATCGACTGTGGCATAACATCGAGAGCATTCATGATATGTATCCTGCGGAACGTGGTCTGCTCTATGCTAATCGCTACGTAGCTTTTGCGTCACACTGGGGATTTGAATTCCCTCGCGACTATCGCGTCCTCTATAATAAGTATCCTACTGGTGCGATGCTCGCTATGTGTGGAAGAACTCTCTATATTCGTAATGATGTTGAACGGATTTTCTTTCAGACAACTCGTCGTAAGATGTATGATGTCCTCAATGCCGTTGGCCTGTCATCGACTTTGAGTACGAGTATCGATAGGAGGCAGAGGGTCGATGCTTGGATAGTGCGAGGAGGGATGGTAAGCAACAATAACAGGAGGGGAGGAGGAGGGCAATTTCGGGGCGCGCGGTCATTTTTGAGTCGGTTAAATTATTGAATTTATACGTTTTATGTTCCGATACTACAAGTCGGGACGTTTTTATAAAGATCAGGTATTTCCTTGAAATTGTTGGCAATTCTTCAAAAGAATGGGTTAAGATGCAAAAATGAGGCATTTTTTTCCTCGAAAAAGTGGGAAAATTACTGAAAATTATCTTTCTTTTCGATTTTCAGGTTTTCGTTCTCGTCCTGTTTTTCCTACTTTATTATTTTTTCCGGGCATCTGCACGAAAGTGAAGTCCCCCCCGCTCCTTTACCGATACATTTACTGCTGCCATTACTTCTATTAGAAGCCTTATGTTGAGTGTTCGGGAGTATCTTAGGTTCAACCGTGGTGTTGACGGATGAGGTTGGTCATACGTAGTTGAAGATATTTGTATTAAACGAATTGCCATTGAGGTGCGCGTGAATTTACTACATGGAAAACAGTTTTGCTTTTTTTCACTGTAGGGAACGATTTGGACGGAAACATTTGTAGATTCTGAATCGCCGTGTTTTGTTATGTATTCCCGTGTGAAAATCTACCACCTGGAGTTTACCCCACTATTTCGTACTAATCCACGGTTTTATCATCCGGACTCTTTACGGACTCTGTCTGCGAAATTGAATTTCCTATCTGATCTTCACCGCTAAATTGATGTCCCTGTCTTCGAACGTGATTTCCTTTTTGGTTAGATTGGCAGTCAGTGTTGGAGTAGGAATATATGTTTGCTTTCCTCTGCCGAGCCCAGGAATTTTGCTCACTAGTTATAAGAGGTTACATACAAACTCGGGTAGAATTAGTATTTGCTGTATCATAATGCCAAGTTCATTGACGTGTAGTGAGGTTTCTACTGCCGACAGTCTCGATCCTAGTAGACATGCGTTGGATGCCTCTACTTGTTCATTTCCAAAGGGAGAGGAGGAGGAGGTGAATTTAAATGATGTGGATTTGATATGTGCCGATATGGATGGTACGTTATTATCACCATCACATAATATACCGGATATTACATTTAATAGGATTAATAAAGCTGATAATAATGGATGTAATAATAACAATACCATAATTTGATCATATCGTCATTGTGTAGGTCCGGTGGTGCCCGCTACGGGAAGGAGTCGGGCGTCTGCAACCCAGTGCTTCACACGTGGAGGTGTTGACCTGTAATAGAATCAGACCGTGGGTTCGATTCCTGGTGGAGGCGTTTTTCTCTCAGTTATTCCCGACCGGGTATTTACTTGAATGGCGCTATCACTTACGACCATACAGGAGCGGTGGTAGCGGAGAAGACTCATAATTACGATGATGTACTGTCAATGGGCCTACTTTGTATCTTACGCGGTCAACCTTAAGATATGCGCTTCAGATCGTTGAAGCAATCAAAGTAGTGGAAGGCGTTGAGGGAGTTGTGGTTTTGCTGTATAACGGCGATCGAGTTTTGGCGCCCAACACTGGCTCGAAGGAAATTGAAAAAATATATAAATCGTAGGAAAAATGACAGGTGTGGGGATAGAACCCACGACCTCTCGATTGTGATGCAGACTACATACCCCTTGCCCTGAGAACTGCGGTTCCTATGAGAATATGCTCGCTAAGGTGCACGAGGAAGCCATATCCATCCATCTTGTAGTAGTGGTATAATCGTTTGGGTAAATTATTCCGATTTGTCAGATTCATTTCATGTCCCTAGAAGGTCGGATGAAGGAGAATGTGCTACGTAAAATCAGAGAATTCGCGAAGTAAGTGACGAATCTGGGAGCACCGCATTCGAGTTGCCTTCGAGGGGAAGGTGTGGTATTCCTCCAGAAGAGTTGTTGGTACAATTAGTGTATTTTTGGCAATATCGGAAAATATATTCTTTCGGGTGGTGTTGGAGGAATATCTATTTGCTTTTCTCAGCTGAGCTTGGAAGTTCCCTCACTAAGCTTTCGTGACGAAGGGGCGGAGCTCACTGAGTCCGCGTCCATGGACTCAATCAATGAATTTTACATAGGTCCAGCCCGGTTCGATCTCCGGGTAGGACATTTCTCCATCATTAAAGTTTTTCGTGCATATCTCTTCGAGTTGTTCGTATAATCGAGTTTCCCGATTTTTCCCAACACCTCCGCATATAGAGGAGTCGTTTGACCTATCTGGTAGCCTCCTACGCTTCGTAGTTAAGCCAGAATAATTCTGCACGCACGCACAACGCGAAAGTGCCTGTTGTTGCGGTATATGCTCCGCTCGCTCGGCAACTAGTTATACAAGTTTACATACGAATTAGACTAGAAATATACAGAAAAATTGCAAAATTTCATCAAGATTTTCATATGTTATCACCAGCACACGTCAAGTTTTGCCCCACAACATTCTTGTCCATCAACAGGCGTTCGGGATGCTCAGCAGCTCAGTCGTTGTGGCGGTCTTGCGATGTGGTCCCCGCTGGAGTTAATAAAGGATTGGGAGTGAAAATTATGAAGGAAAAACTAAGGTGTAGGCTGCGGGGATCGTACCTGGGTCGGTCGTGGGACAGCGGTGTTTGCAGTGTTGGAATATATGTGCGCTTTCCTCAGCTGAGCTTGGGAGTTTCCTCATAAATAAAGAGAATATACGAAAGCTGGTAAAACTGTTGAGAGACCAACAATAATTTCCTTCTAAAATTTTTATGATGTCGTTGACCATGTGCATATTCTTCCCCCTATCCAACACGGTGTTTGATAATCAGACCAACGCGTAGTGTGTGTCGGCGATGCGTTGAATGATTTGGAAATGCTGGAGGAAGCGGATGTTGCTGTGGCGATGGGCAACGCCTTGCCTGGAATCAAGGTTGGTCTACCAAAGATTCAAAGTAGGTCCACTTTTGTCCATTTAGGAAACCGCTTGTCTTGAAGTTAACACCAATTCGAATTTGAAGTTGCCAGGCGTGGCGGATTTAGTCGATCGTATATTGTTGTCGAGGTGAACAACTCGGGAGAATCTTTGCATATCTTTGGGGAATTTCTCTTCAATTTATCGTTAAAATTTATGTCTATTTAGTGTAGTGTATGTGCTGCTGCTGTTCATAAGAAGGTTTCTATCTATTACTACTACTAGATGGGGGGGGGTTGTGTTTGGGGGTCTTCATCGGTCACAGTTATCGTTATTTTGGTTACCCTTTGGAGTTGCTATGTGCCTTTTTATGGTAACATGTTCAAATGGGGTTCATAAACTTTGCTGCTGCCGTCACGAATATTATTATTACCAAAAATCTGTTAATTTCATTCATCGAGTTTTTTTTTCGCGATTGAATTTTCGTCATCATTTCGGTTTCGAGTGGAATTTTGTGTGAGGGAATTTTCTACCGTCTCGGGCAGTGTGGGAGATAGTGCACATGGTCAACTAAAGCGAGGAAATTCTACTCGCAGATTTTTGTACACTTCTACCCAAATTCGTATGTAAACTCCTAAAATTGGTGGAGAAACTCTTTTGAGCTCAGCTGAGGAAATCGATTACATATATTCCTACTCCAATACTGTATAGGAAACTCCTGAGCTCAGGTGAGGAAAGCGATTACATATATTCCTACTCCAACACTGTATAGGAAACTCCTGAGCTCAGCAGCTGAGGAAAGCGATTACATATATTCCTACTCCAACACTGTATAGGAAACTCCTGAGCTCAGCAGCTGAGGAAAGCGATTACATATATTCCTACTCCAACACTGTATAGGAAACTCTTCTGAGCTCAGCAGGTGAGGAAAGCGATTACATATATTCCTACTCCAACACTGTATAGGAAACTCCTGAGCTCAGGTGAGGAAGGCGAACATATGCGGAGTAACTCGAATTTGATCATTCGAAATTGATTGGAAAGTTTCAGTCGTTGAATTAGTTGTTTTTGTTTGCGTCTTTTAATGGCTGGACAAGCTGAGAAAAAGAACAAGGCTAGAGCGGAGCAGTTGACGAAGGTAGGGGGGAAGGTCGTGGGTTCGAATCCCGGCGACGGCAATTCTCCAAAAGCTGAGTAGCTGCATGTCCCCTCCGACACAACGTTCCTGAGGGTTGGTTTTGGGCCTGTTTTGAATCTTTGAGTATATAAGATACCTTTTCTTGTTCAGTACTACTTCTTCGCAGTGGCTATCATCAACTCGATCTACATTTCTTACAAAGTCTTACCGCAATGGAGCGCATTTGGTAAGGGCGGTATGTTGGTGTCATTAGCGCGCGCCCTGGTGATCGATTTGCAGGGTAGCGGTTGTTGGTAGACAACTTGTGCGGATTGAACCGGGGTCGTCTGGTTGACGGATTGTAGTGGACGGGCGCTCTCCTCAGATGCCTATAATGTCTTGGGATTTATCCTTTTCTCGGTGGTGTCGTACTTCACATATAACTCCATCATTAGTTCACTGAAATTGGGAGTACCGGCTGATTCGAGCAACGACTTGTTTATCATCAACCTCACTACTCAAGTAAGTGCGTGCTGGAAAATATGCACTTAGTCAACTACATGTGTTGGTGACGATATGAAATTTCAGGGAATTTTCGTTGGTTTCTGACAATTTTGTCCGATTTCGTGTATAAATTTCTATAATTAGTGAGGGAACTCCCGAGTTCAGCTGAGGAAAGCAAATATATATTCCTTGACCGCTGTGTGAGAGGTCCCCGGTTCGATCCCTAGTCTTGGTATATTATGCGTTGAGGAAATGCAAGATGGGCAAGAACTGTATTTCTTGTCAGTTTTTGGTGACGTTTACGACATATGGATGGTATCTGTATTTAACAGTACCGGCTTATGTACTCTATAAAGGGGGTATGTTTGTGAGGGAATATTTATTATCGCGAAGTGGCGGAGAAGAGGTAGGGTTACGTCGAATGGAGATGAATTTTGTTGAATTTTTGGAGGAAAATTATTGAGTAAATTTGTGAAAAAAATTTAATTTTTCCGGAAAATATCGGTAGTAGTAGGGAAGATGATAGCAATTGCTCGGTAGTCGCCTTTTCTTGTGGGTGTCCCGATCGGGGTTGTTGATTAAGTTGATTATAATACAGCGTCGAGGGAATTTAGAAAAAGGAGTGGTATAATATGTAAAAGTTGGATTTTTTTCCGGAAAAAAATTAAATTTTTTACTGATATCTTATATTTTTGGTAATTTTCTACTTTCTCCTATATTTATCATTGATGGCGATTTTCTGGAAGTGGAAAAATTTTTCGCAACGAAAAAGTATATTTTTATTCACATATCAGGAGGATACAGAATCGGAGGAGCAGCAACGAAAGAGGGAGAAAAGGGAGGCTAAACGAGAGCGACATATGCAGCAACCCAAGTATCGTGTAATGCGCAAGTGATCCAAGTGCTGCTGCTGCTGTTCTATCTACTACCACTGCTACTGAGTGGCTGTGTTGGGGGAGCCTCATGGAGTTTTAGTTATCATCATCATAATCTTGGTTATGCCAAATATGTCATCACCGTTGAATGCCTCCACTTGTTCATTTCCAAAGGAAGAGGAAGAGGAGGTGAATTTGAATGATGTGGATTTGATATGTGCCGATATGGATGGTACGTTATTATCACCATCACATAATATACCGGATATTACATTTAATAGGATTAATAAAGCTGATAATAATGGATGTAATAATAACAATACCGTAACTTGGTCATATCGTCAAAGTGTAGGTCCGGTGGTGCCCGCTACGGGAAGGTGTCGTTGGTCAGCAGCGAAGTGCTTTGCACGAGGAGGAGTTGACTTGTAATAAAATGACATGTGTGGGGATAGAACTCGGGACCTTTGGCAGGTCCGCCCGACCCGGTATCTATCTGAACGGTTGCGTCGTTTACGATCACACCGGCGCTGTGGCGGCGGAGAAGACTCATTCATATGAAGATGTAATATTGATTTATATATTACATCTATCATATTATTTATATATTATTCTGTTATCTAGTATGGAAAATTTGAAGTCTATCGTTGGCATCAGCAAACCGCCTAAGGGTAGAATTGAGGTGCGAATCATCCTAGATCGAATCAACTGTTGAAATTTGATGTAGAGGATCTTCCGAGGCTGTCGTTATAGTCGTCACTCTGTGGGTTTTCATCAGTGTTGGAATATATACTTGTTCAGAACTCAGAAGTTTTTGAAGCTATTTTATGAAAATTTACGCTCGAATTGGGGTAGGGGTGTATAAAAACTGAAATTTCCCGAAAAATTCCTCCCAGAATTTTCATATTGTCAGCAAAATTCGAAGTTCATCATGTGCATATTTCCTTGTTGGTTTCATATTACTATTATCACGCTGTTTACGTGAAAAGTTACTCCGTATCGTCGTTGGAAAAGTAAAGTAAATTCACTTCATTTTTGTTCAGGTAGTTTCAGTAGTGGATAAATTCAAAGACGAGAAGAACGTCGTTGTGATGTGCTGTAGCGGCGACCACGTTTATGCCCCTTTCGATTCGCCCGTAGTGGCATCGCTCTTTACAACGTAAGTATATGTGAGGTTCTTACTACGCGCGCGTTTTTTCTATGCAAATATGTGAAAAATGTGATTATTCCGTCATATTCATAATTCGTAAATTTTAATTATTTTTAACATGAGGACAATATGATTTTTTTGCATTCTAGCAAACTAGGGAAATTCGATCCAAGGCGGGTATTTTTGTTTTTTTTCGGAAAATCTGATTTTTTTGCGTCAGCTAGGGAGTTTTTCGGGTTGGAATTTCCAACAAGGCTAGTCTATAGTGTCTTGGCGTGATATTGACTTCCACTGGTCGTGGAAGTTTGACTATGACTGTGATTTATCTGCGAATAAAAAACATACGAGTTTTATATGTTGCCTTTCTTCTTGAGGTGAATTGCAGGTACGGTGATCCTTACCCGGAGGACTGCGGATCGTATGAAGGGATGCTGAGGAAAATCAAAGAGGATAAAATATCTGTCCATATGGTGAGACGCGGTAGCAAAGTGGGTTGCATGTGTTGGTGATGACAATATGGAAATTTTGGGAGTTTCTATAGGTTTTCGCATACTTCTACCCGAAGTCGTACACGAACTTTGTGAGGAAACTCCTGAGCTTTGCTGAGGAAACCAGACATAGATTCCAATATTGATGACGAAATTGCATGTGGAATTTTTTCGAGTATCCGAAATCACGACATATCTTAATCTTGTTAGATTCATATCATGTCCACCGAAGGTCCACTCTCGGCTGCTGTGCTCGAAAAAGCTCAGAATTTTGCCAAGTACATGGGCGAATTCGTTCCAAGTCGGCGCACTGCGAAAGATTCTTCCCCGGACAGGTCGAGGGGATGTACGTCAGCTCAGTCCCTGCCCTTCCTCACCGATATAATCCCCGCTGGTGCTCATAAGGGCTTTGGGGTCGATGCATTGAAAGAAAAACTGGGCTGTAGGCGGAGCGAAGCGATTCATGTTTGTCATTTTTGTGGATTGTTATCAGATAAATGTGTGGCGTGTGTTGGTGATGCTCTTAATGACTACCAAATGCTTCAAGAAGCGGACATCTCGGTCGCTATGGGAAACGCGATTCCTCAAATCAAGGTGGGTTCGATCCCTGGCAGCGGCGTTTTTCCGTTGAATAAATCGTTTATTGTTGGAATATATGTTTGCTTTCCTCAGCTGAGTCCAGGGATTTTAGAAGTTTACATACAAATTCGGGTAGAAGTGTACAGAAAGCAATGAGAATTTTCCTCAGAATTCTTGCAAATGTCACCTACACATGTAGTTGACCATGTGCATATTTTCTCCCCAAACCGATTAAAGGTGAAATGTGTTTTTCGGTAGTGTTTTCCACATCACGGATGACACTCCGGTGTTTTGATTAGAAGTGGCAAACTTTTTCGATGGGTATTTCTCAGGAGTTGGCATCGTTTGAAGTGAACTCGAATTCAGCTGAAGTGCCCGGAGTGGCAGATCTTGTTGATAGAGTTCTTACTGCCAAGCAAGCTTAATGCAGTTCATTGCATTGACACTGTACAGAAATCAGTTTCTAGTTCCTGTATATGAGAGAATCTTAGGTTACGGTGGGAAAGATACAAAATAGGTCCGAAAAGTAGTTACTCTTTCTTCTCCACTCTTCTTTCCAACCATGTTCTTCGGAGGGGATCCGTTTGAAGACTTTGCAGGGATGGGCTCTCGTCGTGGAGGCGCTGATGTTGATACTCAAAAATATTACGATGTTTTGGGCGTCTCAAAGGACGCTACTACTGCTGAGATCAAGAAGGCGTAAGTTGTTGGGTTGGAAATGTTCATTGTGAATCTCGCTCGCCCGAAAAATGAGGATAGGAGTAGTGATTTGATTCTGCAATTGGCATCATATTACGAGTAAAGAAGACCTCAATCGAGTTTGAATTCAATTGGATGAAAATTAGTACTTTCGTGAAAATTCAGTCTAAAAATTTTCTCGGAAATTTCTTGATAGTCTGTATGCAGTTATGAGAGAATAGTTGGACATTGATGCATCATTATAGTTGATAATAAATGTAAGTTTTTGTTACTGGCTATGGTGATGGTGTTAAGGAAAGAGGTGGAGGGTTCGATCCCTGGGGAGGGTTCTTTTCGGGAAAAAAATAATTGTGAAATCTTCAGGTTCCGCAAGCTAGCGATAAAGCATCATCCTGATAAAGGAGGTGATGCTGATGCGTTCAAGGAGATGACCAGAGCTTATGAGGTGCTCAGTGATGAGGAAAAACGGCAGAGATATGATCGATTCGGCGAAGACGGTGTTGACCAGGAAGGTAGGTTGATCGGAGGTATCTGTAGTGTGGGAAAATATGTAAGTCGTCAACTACATGTGTTGGTGATGGTATGGAAATTTGTGAGGAAATTTTGGAATTTCTTATTGGTTGCTGTACGCTTCTACCCGAAGTCGTATGCTAAATCTTATAATTAATGAGTAAACACCTAAGCTCAGCTGAGAAGAACGAACATAAATTCCTCCAACACTAGAGATCTTTGATTTGGAAAGATTCATTTTAGGCCCAAGTGGTGGCGGTATGGATATGTTCGATATGATGTTTGGTGGCGGTGGAAATCGTAGTCGTAGAGGAAAGCGGAAGGGCGAAGATATCAGCCACGTGCTGGAAGTATCCCTATCGCAGTTCTATAATGGAGCTACTCGGAAGCTCGCAATAAACCGTGTTGTTATTGATCGCTCTGTCCCGGTGAAGACATGCAATGCTTGTGATGGTGAAGGAGTTGTTATTAAAGTCGTCCGGATGGGCCCTATGATTCAACGGGTTCGACAGGCTTGTCCGCAGTGTAACGGTCAGGGACAGAGTTTCAAGACGAAGAAAAGTAAAGAGATTATCGAAGTACATATTCAGAAGGGAATGAAAGATGGTCAACAGATCCCCTTCAGAGGAATGGCTGATGAGAGTGACCCTTCGGAAGAGCCTGGTGACTTTATAGTCGTGTTGAAGCAGAAGGCATCTCAGAATGATGCTTCTGCACATGGGTTCACAAGGAAAGGTAACGACTTGTACCTGCGAAAGTCCATCACTTTGTTGGAGGCCCTTACTGGTTACACGACGGTGATTGAACATATGGATGGACGAAAGCTGATCGTTAAGTCCAAGAAGGGCGAAGTTATCAAGCCTGTTGATATGACTGCTGAAAGGCATCTTTTGAAGTGCGTCAAGGGCGAGGGAATGCCCAGTTTGCAAAATCAATTCGTGTGTGGAAATCTCTTTATCATTCTTGATATTGTATTCCCGAACGAGATGAAGGAAAAGGCCTGTAAGGAGTTGGCGAAGATTTTGCCGCACCCGAAAGATGCTCCTAAGATTACCTCGAAAATGGACAAGGAATATGAGCATCATCAGCTAGTTGATATGGACCCTGCGGAGAGTTTGAGAGCTCAGCAGTTCGGCGGCTCGAGAGAGGCTTATGATGAAGATGATGATGATAACGAAGGCTTCCCGGGGGCTCAGAGAGTTCAGTGTGCCCAGCAGTAGTTGTGTAAATATGTATAGTCGCTTATACTGCTTATTGGCTTTTTACTCCACGTTACTTCTACTTCTTCCCCTTCCACTCTACAGATGATTGTGTTTGCGTTAATTCTGAGATATAACTAAATGTGCTGTTTTCAGGGTTTCCACAGAATGTCGATAAGCGTGCCCACATGCCCTAAGGTTGTTATGACGTTTCTGGTAGTTCCTATTCGGAGCTGTTATGCTGGTCATTCAAGAACAGCACGGCTAAAAAGAAGAATCCAATTACTACAGTATTTCCAGATGAAATTAATTTTTTACCCATTTGGTTAATGTTTGACCCTTTTTGTTAACATTTCACCCTTGGCTTCAATGAAATACCAACAAAATTAATTTTATACCCGATTTATTTGAAAGTTAAGGAGTTTAATTTGGCCAAGGGGCTCCCAGTGATAATGCATCACTAAGAAGGTAAAAGTTTTACCGTAAAACATCAACCAAATGCCATTTGACAAATGGAGAAAACATCGACCATTCCAGAAAAATTATTTGACCTGGAAACGCTGTAGTACTGTATGCAGAGGTAGGGTGATGAAATCGGATACATGGTACATCGGGATTATCCGAAAGATCTTCCCCTACAGCTCTTATTTCCGTACATGGACACGACATCAGCGATGCCCGACTGTTCGGCGTCGGACGAGTGTGAGATTTGTTCTCCTGTCTTTGGAAATAACTGATGGTGATCGTTCCTCAGATGGTTGTGTGAGTGTGCGGGTCGAGGCCTCACCCAATGAGGAGTTGTTCGAGAGGGTTGGCAGGTTGGAGTCTGCTCAAGAGACTGTTTATGAGTGAGTTTCAGGGTTGATTGCGGCAATGAGAAGTACTTGTTGGTGCGCTTCGTAAGGGCGCCACGCGACAGTATCGTGAACCTGTTACTTGTTTCGCAGGTATATACCTCCTGAAAAGACAGTCTCCATCGGATCAGGAGGGGAACCTGAGTAGGTCTCGAGAAGGGACTTGAGTTCATAGCGAGCATGACTCAGTTGAGGATTGACCCTATCCATGAAACATTCACATTTTCAATGAGATTATCGACTCCTTAACGAGATGAATTCACTGTTGACTTGTCTACTCAGTAGACTCTACTGTTGAGCAGTCTGTTGTTGAGTCTGCGTTTAGAACGGAGCACATTCCAATATCATGGGAGGCGTGGGGTGATTGTGAGGATGATGAAGGTACCATTCTCGTCACACCTTTCGATCAGACTATGCAGCATTCAGATGATAAGGACGGGGATCATCGACGGGCTCGCGTGGATCGTCTTCAGAGAGATATCGAGGAGCTGCGCTTGATGATGAACGCTCATCGGCAACGACTGCGATCTGAAGTGAGTTGCCTGGGGGCTGTTATCAATAGTATTGGCAATCGACAAAATCCCGAGACTGAGAGCATATCACAGTGAAAACAGCATACATATCACATATCGCATATATACTACAGGGGACAACACCCTCGCTGTTTCAGTCTGCAACTTCGGACACCAGAAATCGTGGCGACGATGGTCTTGAACTTTGTATGGAGCAGCTAGACATGACCTTGGCCGCTGAGGTGGTTGTCTACGCTTTGAAAGCAAGATAACGGTGTTGCTCGTTGGCAGGATGGTCAGGATCCGACTGGTGAGACTCGCAAGTTGGAGAGTACGGATTTTGCCGATATAGCATCGGCAACGGGTAAGCTCGGAGTGATGACTGGTTTTCGATCGTCGCCGTTTGTCAAATGGCAATCAATTATCAAATGATATTTGATAATGGATTTATCTGTGCGGTCTGGTGCTCAGAGTGTGAAAGCGGTGCTCTCTGGCGTCGGATGATGGCTTATGAACGGATGGAGACGCTTGAGCGGAAAGTAAGAAGCTGGTGAAATCCACGAGCTGATGGGCTGGGTTCCGCTGCTGACTCTTGTGTATCGATATTTTGACTCCCGAGCTCAGTATTTGCTCTTAGGTTTGCATGATGGAATCAGGATTAGGACGAGCAGTGGGAGGTATAGGAGGGGAAGGGTGAGTCGAGTGTGCGGATGTGGGGAATTATATGGTTGATGGAGACCTGCTGTGCGAGTTCGTTCGAGAACCACTCAGTCGGTTGATGATGAATCATTATCAATGGAGATGATTTTCATTGAAGAATGTCATCAGGCGCACTGTTGAGATCTTTGCATGATAAGTTTTGCAGTTCGTCGATATTTCAAAAATTCTCCCCTGACCAAGGTGATGTCCACCGGTAGACGCTCGAGGTGTGTGAGGCCCTCACTTCCCTCGAGTCACCCTCACATGATGCGGGTTATACTTGTGACCTTGTGTGGGCAACTCCTGGAGTGAATATCTGGAATTGACGGCATCATGAGCAAGCATAATAGGAGCATAACGTTACAGTACCAGGCTGACACACAGCTAGAGTAATTCACTGTGAGAGGTGTTGTGTCGAAGGGGAATACCCTGTGAGGGGTTATACATTATAGCTTGTACTACGTTGCTGGGAATGTCTCCCTCAATCGTAAAGAGTCTTGCTGTGTGTGCACTCCGCTTCCACACCAAACCGTACGGGGCTTGTGCCTAGCCGAGCGATTTTCCTGCCCACGCAGATCAAGAGGCCGACTGGATGATCCGCCAACACTACTCGCAAGATATCGTTCCTCTCCAGAGCCAGCACTAGCATGTGCGCGGCGGCACATCATGTGCCGACGCAATGCACCGATCAGGCAACAAACCATTCGGTGGGCGAAGAGTTCACCATGAAGGATACCGTGATGATGTAGTTGATCGAATAAGATGGATTACACGTTTTTAGTGAGGATGAGTAGTGTCCGACCGCGAGTCGTATAGTGACAAGATGAGGAGGCAAGAAGCTTCTGGGGGAAGAATATTTCTGTGCTGCGATAGATGCCATAGATGTCTATGCTGCAATATATGTCATAGATGTCTAGGCTGCGAAGATGTCATAGATGAAAGCTATGGGGAACTAGCATGTTGTGTAAACTCATCATAGAAGACGGCGATTGGCGGCCTGGGCCCAAGGGAAGTGTTATGGTGTGGATTGGGGTTTGTATCGACTCGTTGGTGTTTCATGACGATGGTGTGTTAAGCAGAGGAGAATGCAATCAACGCATACGTTCCCGTTTCCGTGTCTGGAAAATGAAATATGCAGCTATCGTGAGGCAGATGAAACCTAATTCGGGGTAACCATTCTCGCCGGCAACCTGATATGCCGAAGTGGTCACGGCCATTATCGCCTTCCACATATTCCAACTCGGGATCAAATCAGTGTACTCTTTACGAGCTCATAGTCTGATGAATCTCTCATTGACAATGAGTCATTGCCTATAAGAGGCTTTGATACACATTCTATTGTGCGATTGTCGAGTTCTGATTATGTTGTTGCTCATTCATATACAAGCTAGTGGTGAATACTAGAAATCTCCCTCGATTAGAGGGGTCGAAATCCCCTTCGGATTGTAGGTGGAGCCCTCGGCTCCACGAACATTCTTCAGGGCTCGGGCCCTTAATTTGGCGACTGAATCGAGTCGCCGCGATTCGACAAGTTCACTTGTCTCCGTTAGGTTGCGAGCCCCAATATTGGCACTGCTGGAGGACTTGAGCCGTCAAGTGAGCATCATCGAAACGAAGAGGGCTCCGGTAATGTTCATATTCGCTTTATAGTATCAGCCGCATCGTAGTTGATCACCTCAGGCAGATGAGGAGGTGACAGCTGCTATTGCCTCCCTCGACTTACTGCTCGAGAAACAGGCCCAGCTTGAAACAACAATGCATATCACAGTGGAGGGGATCGGCGCTGTACGCCAGCTTTGGGGATCGCAAACTTTGACGTCACAATGAAAATCAAATTTTTACATCGCGCGCGAAATTCATCCCATATGTCATGAAATATGGGCGTGCTGCAAATGATGGTTTTGCTCTGACGCCAATAACAGATGTGCGTTCGCAGTGTGTTTCCCTTGCCCTTGCATCTCAGGTTGACAATTTGTACACAATGTGTCTCAAAGGAGAAGCTATGAAAGCTGAAGTTGCTGCTGTTGCTGATTGCTTGAGGACTATGCGAGTGAGAATGGGAGAATTATCGCATTCGCTCGGCGGACCATTGTCGGAAAAGGGTACTTCGTCTAGACGTATCTTGATGTTGATTTTGCCTCTCTCATCGTGGAAGATCTTTGGGTAGACCTTATCATGATCAGAGTTATGAGGGGCAGGCGGAGTTTCTCGCGACCACGCTTGACGATATCGAAGCACAACAACGCAGGATGACTGACATTTTGCGAGACCTTCGTTCGGAACAGCAATGTCGAGATTAACTCCTGCATGAGCCAATTCGCGTTTCTCTCGAGTTTCCGATATTTTGTTGCCACTACTAGTGAGTCACCAGCACGAGTGTGGGAAGCGTTTGGAGCTTCGAGTGGCCCGAGTTGAGCCCCACCAACTTTGTTCGTAAACGAGTAGAATAGTTGTAGAAGATCTCCTGGGCTCATCACAATCGCACACTGTGCGACGCACAGTAGAGTTCAGCTTTCAAGGTTCGTGTGAGAGATAGCCATCAGCGCTAGAATGGCGCATTTCCGACTGTGCCGTTCGACCAGGTTACCTGGTTTCTCATCTACCTGGTCCAGGTAGATGAGAAACGCTCTCTTTAACCTGATGCTTCTAGTGGAACATGTCCAGTTTCTGCATTGGATGCGGACCCTAGGTTCGTAGGAAGCGCCGACGATTATGGCTTGCACAGTCGGCCCGGCGACAGAGTGACGGAGTTTATGAAGCAAAATCACAAGACTCGTCTCTGCGCTCGTCTGCGAAGGTGAGTTCTTTCGAACTATTTCACTCGATATGCCCGACAGCCAGTGCCTGTCAGGTTGACCTCGATCGAGTAATCGATGTTCCTCTATACTACGGAGTCTGTAGCTATCACATTGGCTGTATCCATTTTACCCTTGTTGTGTTGTACCAATTGGTCAACTGTCACCCACTTAGGGACTAAACACCACAAGGTGAATGAGATGCAGTGGTAGTAGTGGTGTTCTAGTGAGCTTTGAATGATCATTTTATATCATCTATTATTCATACACAGTTTCTTCGCTCCTCCAGTCACGAACCTGAACAGAAATTCATCATACACCAAATTATCAACGAAATTTGCTACTGGGATGGCGAGAGCCTCTCGATTCCTCCTCGTCACTTCTCGATCGACGTCTCCTATCATGTCTGCTACGCGATCGAGAGGCGCTGGACGAGTGGCCACGGCGATGGTGGCGAGAACGCGACCTGATGATAAATTCTCAACAACAACAGCCTCCCGCACAGAATCATATTATTCGATATCTATCGAGCAGTCTCACCGGTCCCTTCTTGAGCTCTTCTCACGACGTTTGTGGCGGTCTCCTTCCTCTGCACTTTCACTACTGCTGCTATCGTCATAATCGCTCTTATCGTCCTCATCATCGTGGTGGTGGTGACGCCTCTTCGAATGGTGATGATGATGATGCTTCTTGTGATGCTTCTTCTGATCATCAACACAACTGTTATAATTCCTCGAGACTACAGCCGATGGAAAGAAAGGGAACACCGACATCCAACAACTATCTTAGTTACAAATGTTCGCGCAGTTAAGTTGCACTTTCATGCAGCGCGAAGTCCCAGGATCGAATCTTGATTCAGGTATAATTCCTTCGTCTCCTCCACATTCAACTTCCCGAAAACAGAATAGCTGGGGCTCACGCACCACACTATCAAAAGGACCACCCCAAACGAGATGGCTCGGATAGCCAGAGAGTGACTATCCATTGCGATGAAGAATACATCATACATACTGATAACTACAACAACTCAATCCCTCCCCTCCATAGACGTACATCCTTCTTCTTTTTCTTCTTTTGAGCCTCCAAAGCATCGCTCTCAGGCTCTACCAGTGAAGGGCTCTTCTTCTCAGCATCGTGTATCAATCTGATGGTCATTGTTGTGTCGAATATCGAAATGAGGGTATCCCTACTTTTGACGCTCGAGTTGCCTGCCGATAACTTGCTCATACATCTTCTTCATAGTCGCCTCTAACAATAACAACAGGAATCGAACCCGCGACCTCACGATGCACAGCCCGACAACCATCCACTAGAGTAAAGTTACCTGCATTTATTGGGGCCATCCCTGCCTTCTCCATCTCTCTCTTCCTATACATGCTATCCCATGCTCCACTACGAAGACCTGCCTTCAACAAACAGAATTCTCACAGCGCCAACGATCCCATATTTCCATCAGAAAATTTCAACAACCATCACCCCTCCCCGGTGAGTACCTATCAGATTCCCCTGCGGCGAATCCGGCGGAGGGCGACCACTCATTTCGAGAGGACTCCAACAACTTCATCCAGTCGAATGCCCACACTCCCCCTATACTCAACACCCAATGAACAACTTCCGAAATATCGTGGCGGCTTCCTTCGCTACAGTGCTGACGATGAAGGTGTGTCGTTCAGCGCATATCAATGGACATCCAACCATTCCAAGTTTCGGCGTCAATCCAAATCGAGGGAAGTCCATATCTCCAAAAATTAATAGATTTGAGTCCTACAGGCAATTGGAGTCCGAAGCATGTGTGTCACTGAGGAACTCAACATCTACACATTCGAGTAGAGCAGTTCCCATCATCCCGGACTCCTTCACACGGTAGCCCAGCACTTACCCCCTTCACATTACCATATCTAGCAGGGTAGTAGCGAATGTAGTCGTCGATCAATGAGAGATCACTTCGATGTGGTTACACAATTGCAGACTCAATTGCCTCAGGAAAGCTGGAAGCTTCCACACCCACCCGAGAATTTGAAGTCCACAGCACAAGACAGGTGGATGTGAAACTCATATATTTTCTGAAGTGTCTGCAGTCCCTTGGGAGAGTTGTATACTTTCCATCAAAGCTTGAACCTATCAATAATAGGCGTAACCAAGAATCGAACTCACCACCTTCACCGTACAGAACGCGAATCATACCACTACACCACCCAACTGATTACTTGCGCCAATGTCTTGCTGCCACCTAAGCTTTCAGTTAATTTCGTTACGTCGTATTCGACAGTCGCACCTGAGACAGAGTCCTGTCCATAACGCACAACCTTTCAACATGTAAAACCAACACGATTACACACAGGGTAACACATTCGATGTGTCCACACTGATGTCGTCGGAGATGCTCATTCTAACCCAACTGATCAACTGCTGCTCCTACCCGGTGGCACAGCTGCCTGTTGCTCCTTCATGCTCTCCCGTAACTTCATCAATTCATCCGCAGTCCAGTCCGAATTCGAATCTCCTGCAGTAGCCTGTGGGGAAGTTGGATATCAACAATTTCGTGGCGCGTGACGCATTACTTCCCGTCCACTCCCGATGCCAGGCTCGCCTGCTGATGCATTTTGGTCCGCTAACAGAGTTAAATACAAGAGATTCCGCTGAAGCCGCGACAGTAGAGGTATTCGTCTGATCACGACCATTAGATGCTGCCCTCCCTGGCTCGACAGCGGCCGACCTTTCCACTGGGCACCGGTCATTCTGTAGTTCCTTCAGCATCTCTATCATAACGTCATTCTCATCCAACATACGTTTCAGCGACTCAGGACCAGTAACGTGAGAAGGTAGCTGGGCTGGGCCTGATCGACAACACCCTTCCATTGGAAAACAACTAAGGTCGACGAGAAGGATATACAAAACAGGAGCTCTGAATCCACCAACTTCATAAAAGCAATTTATGAAGCGAGGCATGGAGTAGAATTTCATTTTTCCTCCTCAAACCACCAGCCAGCTTGGGTCTATGCGAACCGTTCTTGGCATAGGTAGGAGTCCCACTGGTTCCTCCGTGAGCCTCTAGCCGAACGCAGGCTAGCATAAAAGGATGATGAACATTCGCGATAGTTGCAGTACTTAGTGGGCGAGAGCGAAAACGCGTTTTATAAAACGGAATCTTCAGTGAACAAGATATTCTTCCCAGTGTGTGAAAATATGCACATGGGTAACTACGTAGGTTAGTAACACTATAAAAATTCCGAGCGGAAAATTTTCAATGGTTACTGGACACTTCTACCCCAATTCATATGTGAACTTCTATAATTAGCTTTGGAAACCCCTGAGCTCAGTTGAAAAAAACCAAACATATATTCCTCCTACACTGGCTCTTTCATTCACAGTTCCAGCGAGAAGTCGAAGGGCGAAGTTCCCCGTAGTCGGGGTTGACAATTCCCATTAGTCCCGCTAGTACCACGAGGCACTCCATCCGACACTGCTGGTCGTGGACCTTCTGAGGAGCCTGGCAGTGACATATTCTGCATATCAAAAAGAACTGTCACCAGAACCAGTCTACTATATCAAATTTCGCCGATTCAGAATCCGCCCAAATGGCGCAAAACATATTCGCAGGCCTAAAGACAGGTATTACAGGTGATACCACTGGTAGAACAGACCACTACTTTACAACGGATTTGAACTAAAATTTGGTGGATTCTGCGAAATGCAGCAGATGTGCAGTAATCTGCGAATTGTTCTCATTCCGCCGAAATTGGTATTGGCAATAACTGCATACGGACAGCCTCCGTCGACTTGATCTTCTCGACAAGAATTGCGGACTAATTTGGAACTCTCAGTTAAAATTCGATGTCAGTCAAATTGCATGAAAATTGCAATACACGCGCCTATCCCATCGCGCGATTGCAACGGGGGGAATAACATATGTGGCCCATACCTGAGTGCCTCCACGTGGCGTCCCTGGACAGCAAATGAAATCCGTCCCCTCTGTTGACTGAAGCTCAGGATCATATGTCTCACTTGGTAGTACCAAGTTGGTACAAGGCTGTGACAGCCTGGGCCAGGCTGCCTGGCTGTCTAGCTGGAAAGCTTACTTGCGGGATCATCCCGACTCGTCCAAAAATTGCTGACAGACTAGGCTACTATTCTGTGGGCAGATCTGTCTCGTTTTAAACGAGGTTTTAAACGCACCTATGAACGAGTCATTTATAGGTGCGGCTCCGCGGCCTTATACGACGTCCACTGCATCATTGAGCGCAAGAGATTGCGAAGTGTGAGGTGTTCGGTCAGACTACGAAGATCGAGAGAGATGGATGGAAGACTTCAACACGAAGTGCTCAACTCTGAGTTCGTTCGTCACGTTAGCGCAATAGGAGCTGGGGAAAGACCCATCGCACAGAGGTGTTTGACTTCTGCTGACGCCTCTATTGACGCGATCAGTGCCGCTCTCATATCACGGGTGGAATACCACGAATTCCTGTTGCTAGAGCCATAACAGCCGAGTTGCAGAAGGCATTACCAGAGCTGTTCCGCGGTGGAACAGCTCTGGTAATGCAGCGAGGAGAGCTGACCCCTACGATCTAGTAAAACTCAACTGACTCAAACGATCCTGGTCAGACCAGGATCGTAAATTATGATCGTAAATTCTTGACTGACAATTTGGCATCAAGCAAAATGAAGAGAGGCACGTAAAGAAGGATGCTGGCACGGTTGGGGTTCCCAATGGCCATCGTGGCCATCGTGTGCGCCTCTGTCTTCCTGTTCCATGGCTCGCGTCATGTCACTTCGCAACCTACGCCATTACTTGGATTCCCTCAGTCATTTCTCTGTTTGTTTCACTTGTTCGCCTCAGCCCTGCAGGTACCACGATGCCACCGCTGCACTGGTACTGCGTGGCCCACGCAGCGTGGGGCACTTGTGGCTATGCGGCGACGAGGACGCTGATGGCGTCACGTTGTCGTCATATAGGGGCATCACTCACGGTCCGTGAGTCACGGAATCCGTGACACGGATTCAGCAATTTTGATTAATCCATTATCATTTGATGAATGTCATCTCCTTCCGATACCTGGTTGTGTTCGCCAAGTTCCTTGAGAGTCGAGGAATCCTCGACGAGGATGACGTCAAGGTTACACCTGACAATCGGAATCACCCAGTCTGGGTGACCCAGAGCGAAACAGTCAACTCGGTTTCGAAATTCGGAGTCCGAATTTCGACTGAAATTTCGAACTCTAGTCTCAAGTTCCGCGTATGGCTTTCGGCTCGGTTCGGTTGCCGGGGCATGGAGAAAAACCAAATGAGTGCTCCTTAACACTCTACTCCTGTGATGTGATTATATTTTGGGGACTCTCCATTGGGGAGGACGTTTTCGCGCACGTCAATTCCTCCATCCTAGGATGGGGGAAAATAGACATATCTGGCCCTCGAAATTCGAGCTTTGACTTAAGCTTCGAGCCCAACCATTCATACGCCAGACCCATTGGATCCCTTTGAAAGAGGTTCAACAGAATCTGCTAGGGAGCCGCGCAATGAGCATGCGTGCATACCGAAATCCCGCTGTTCCCATTTAACCCACTTCAGCGCCACAAAGCAGTTGATGTGCAAGCGATTGTCATGGCCAGACACTCATCAGGGGGAGTCGCTTATAACGAAATCATACTGGAATCTAGTAAATAGACCCTACATTCATGATAATAGAATGCAAGAGAGATCGATGCTACTCGTCAAAGCCGTTTCAACGTGTGTCTCCACCAGGGATTATGTTCGCTAGATTCCTTATGGTAAATATAAGTTGGATTCCACGTGACTGGAATTCCAAACAGCTCTTCGGTGGCCCTTGTATTGAAGAGAAGAGTACAGAAGTTTTCCTGGAAAAGGTGTCAACTGTCGAGTTCAACATTTGATTAAACATCAAGTTAGTCCTATACGTGAGATTCAAAATCACCCGTGGACTTTCCCCTTTCTCCCGAGAAGTCATCTTTAAGCACATCCTTGACGTTTAATTTCGAGGAGTTGGCAGCATGCATCAGGGAGAAGGTCAGGGAAAGTGTGGCAGGTGCGCTTAAGGACTATTCGAAACCACCAAGTGCTTCAAGCATCGTCGAGACTCCAAGCACCGTGGCTTCACCTAACAAGCCTTGTTAAACAAGGCTCGACTCAGTCTGGCAGCCAGACTCTGGCTAGAGTGTCGCCAAATGGCCTTTACCGTAGGGGCCCTACGTGAGATATCATTCTTGGGAATTGCTGTGTAGAATCTACACTGTAGATGCACCTCTCAGGCCTAAACATGGAAAACGCCACCGATATATTCAATATATTACATAAAGCTCCAGTGGGCATGCGACATAGGACAAACAACGCTGCCGAGGCGCTGCACGGTGTCCTGAAGTGTCTAATTGGTCGTCGCCGTCCACATGTACGATTCTTCATCAGATGTCGGGTGTACGTAACTCCAGAAATTCTGGACCACTCTGGACCAGAATGCACCGCTGCTCGCGAGGAGTCGGCCTTGGCCGACAGTACCCGGTCTGACACGGAGACACGGGCGAAGTTCGGGTTTCCGATGTGACCTTCGTGACCCCGACTTCAAGCCGATATGTTGCCTTACAGTAGCTTACCTCTTACGCCATTCATCACCATCTTATCAGGTCATTGACAGTGATAGACAGGCTGGTCAGCGTTTGTCTTCGGCAGCGTCTGGTTTTAAGTACCAGTGAGGCTCATTGAATGAGCTAACCCTGGTGGCGAGATGACCATGCCAAAGGCAACAAAGGCTGCCATCTCACCTCTTCATGACGTAGGAGGGATCATCGAATTAGATGAGGCATTTCTTAATGGCAAACAACCCAAGGGCCTACCAACAGGCTGCCTGGGTGTGCTCGGGGATGTCGTAACCCGTCATGTAGAGGGGTACGTTCATGTCCCATGCCATGGGTCCGACCCATGGTGAAACATGAACTACCAATTGGTACTTGCCGACATTGCGCCCGAGTTCATGGAGAAGATAGGGAGCAGTGTTGCCCAGCCTTTCACAAATTCTGTGCTCGTTGTGGTAAAGCTGATCATTTCGCAGTAGCATCATGCTAGAGGCTACTAGCATGCAGAAGCCCATCCCAAGCCTCTTCTCCCAACCGGAAATCTGAGGGAAAAGGGAAGCAGCAACCCAATCCTACAGTAGGATTCCTACTAAGGCCTCTTCCCCTACTAAAAACCACATCAAGAAGCCCGACGATGAATGTGCTCAAGCGCAGTCAGCTACAATCATACTTGATGGGTCTCTGGGATTACTTCAACCAGATGTTTGTGAAGTTTCGACTCCATCGACAGGGTTCAGGTTGGGCATCAAGGTTCGCACTGCTCTCCCGATTTAACTTCTGGTCCCATTGACTGGTAACGAGCTATTGAAATCGGAGGCATCGGTGGTATCTGCGTTGTGGGAATTTTTCGAATTTTGATAGCAATCTTTTCAGATTAATATTATTAATTTTATAATCAAACGCCATACTGAATCGATATCATTATAATCATTGATCATCAGAGACTAATGAATTCCAGATACAGTCGTGTGTGCGACGCAGATACCACTGCATCGATTTCTTGCTGTTTCACAGCTGGGTGGGGTTAACTCACGTAATATCTGATCATAGGTCATGATCGACAGTGTAGATTCTCCATCTTTCAAACGCCGATGTGCAGAAGAGTGAGTCACTCCACCCGTCCAAATAGTAGTCAGACTACTATTTGGACGGGCGGGCGAGTCTCGCTCATCTCAGATGAGAACGAAGATCCTCTCGCTGGGAACTTCAACATGGACACAGAAAAACGAAAGAGTTGCTCTCAGCTGCATCCGAGAGAGGGGAATCGAGGATTGTCCAAATCACCTCTCGTGAAGTTTTCTGTCAATTATTCAATGCTCGACCTCGTACATATCTTGACGTCCTTCTCTGGAAGCGACTCATCTCACAGGTGTGTCGGTGTGGGAATGTATGCACATGGTTAACTACATGTGTTGCTAAAAATGTGGAAATTCTGAGAAAATGTTGAGTAATTATCTCTTGTTTTTGTAAACTTCTACCCAAAACTGTGTGGATTTTCACAATACAGTTAGGAAATTTACGAATTCAGTTGAGGAAACCAAACATATGTTCCCACACTGGGTGAATGATTTTTCATAAAATGATATCCACACCAGTGTGCATGATGAGAGTTTTGGAGAGACCACATATCATCAGACAGCGTGTCCGAGTGGTTAAGGAGGTGGACTCGAAATCCACTAGGCTCTGCCTGCGCAGGTTCGAATCCTGCCGCTGTCGTTAGATCTGTGGCTTCGACTTTTGGATATTTTAGTACTGTTTCTGATTCGGACAAGTTCTGAAACTCAGAATCAATTCTCAAGCTCAATAGCGCTTGTTTCATGCGATTCCATCAGTGTTGGAATATATGCACATGGTCAATTACATGTGTTGGTGACAATATGAAAATTATTAGAGGAATATTCGGGAAACTATCTTTGGTTTTTGTACACTTCTACTCCTAGTTAAAGATTTCAATAACGTAGTGAGGAAACTCTCGAACTCAGCTGAGAAGACCAAAGATATAATCCCACATCGGATTCCATAGTCAGTTCGAAAATTCAAAATCAATTTGCCGTACATCCCCAACAACGTATTCGATATGGTTTCCTTGTCACGCTCAGCCATCATCAACATCACAACGAAGTCGGTATGATTATGAATGCCAAGGCCAAGGACCTCGGAGGGCTTCTCGACCGACCACTCGATGGAGATAGCTGTGTTATACCCAAACATTTGGCAGAGTACGCTCTAATTCGCGAATACGCGAAACGCGAATACGAACTCATGTACCCTATACTTACATCACAATATCGGAACTGTATAACTCAAATCTGCCTCACCAATGAAGTGAAATCGAGTCGTTGTTGAAGTGATCAGCTCTGATCGTTTCAATAAAACTACTGCTATAACGTCACTCCCAGATATATAGTCCAAGTTCAAACACCGCTGAAGCAATTCCACGTCAGAGGAGATTCTGGATCATCAGAGCCCTTTGATAGTGGCACAGACGGTCCGATCTACATACAGCTCCATGGCTATGACAAACACTACGACTACCATACGTGTAGGTATCTATAAGACAACATTGAAACTCGGCAAGGCTTCACGCACAGTGCTAATCCCTGTGTACAGATCGACTCTGTGAAATCGTTACCGAAAATCTCTCGCCTACACAAACCTCTAACCGCACCTTTTTTCGTATAGTCGGAGGCAACACGAAAATAGTACTAGAATTTTACGCTTTTCTCGACAACTAATATCAGGTTGTATCCCCGCGTTCAAATAGGACATTTAATCATCTCCCCCCATGAACCCAGGGGATTCAGGTTCGGGATGGTACTTGCTGAAGCAGCACTTGAAGGCTGGTCGCCATTACGCTGTATCCATACTGGGTCCTGATGTTGGTCCGGTGAAACAAATAGATCTTCATAACCCTACTGATGATGATTGGTGAGTGAGGAGGGCCTCCTCAGGAGGCACTTCATATAAGCAGTGTTGGAGAGATATATGCTCGCTCTTCTCAGCTGAGTTCAGGAGTTTCCACAAGCTAATTCTTGAAACTTACATAGGATTCAGGGTTGAGATATTTTTCCATGATCGATTCTGAGCATCTTCCTTTCAGGTTCGCAGGGACAGTCCTCATCAAAAGATTCACTCCAGAGGGGAGCAATGGGAGAAACGCGATGCACAGCGACGCTTGGGTGGAGTTCAAAGTGAATTATATTCCATACCGCACCTTGACCACATCGTATAGGTGAACAAGTGGCTAGTGTCACCTGACCACCCCGAGCAGTCAGTGGTGCGATCAGCGAACTCCCATTTCGTGGCGAGTGACGGAAGAGAGATCTCCCCGTCTCACAAAGCACTACCAAAGACATGGTGAACATGTGGACATGATTCGTATCTTTCCTCGACCAGCCTTGGATTTGCGTTAGATAGGTTCCCCCATTTTCGACCCTGCATGATGGTTATTTCACGGAACCATTGAAATCATTGTTTGTTATAATCATTTTCATTGTTAATCATTATTTCCCTTGAAAGTTTTTGATTGCCTTCTTTTTGACAAAAAGGTCATCATCATCGACGCACCCGAGGAAAAATCGGGGTGACTGTTTCCGTGGAAGCGGTCGTTGGGGTTCTTATTTTTGATACCCTAAGCGTCGGACCGCGTTGCCTCCGCTGACATCTGCGCGCTCCTTGTTTGAGTTCTCAGAAGTCTTTCTTGATAATCGGTTCATTAAGGCGATGTTAAGTTAAGTTTGTATTATTAAGATTGTATTCATTAAGATGTTTTGTTAAGATGTTAAGGAAAGGAAAGGAAAGGAAAGGAAAGGAAAGGAAAGGAAAGGAAAGGAAAGGAAAGGAAAGGAAAGGAAAGGAAGAAGGAGGAAAGGAAGAAGGAGGAAAGGAAGAAGGAGGAAAGGAGAGAGAAGGAGGACAGGTTTGTGTTACCACCGTCCACCGACCACTGACCACAAGCAGCGCAGGGATTATGCTGGGATAAGTAATGCGTCTCCCTTCGATGACGCCTCATGTTTCCTACTTGAGCCGCGTCCCGACTCCGCATCGTATGGCGCCCTCGAACGATTTTACCTCGATCGACCCATCGGACACATCCTCCAAGATTGATTCGCCACCGGTTAATGGTACCTCTTGATGTACTTCTACTCATCTTCAATAGCGTTCTGGTGATTGAAGATTCAACCAGAGTAGACACGGATGCTGACTGGAAGTTCTTGCGCCCGAGTATCCCGGCAGTGGGAAAGCAGAGAATTGGAATCAACTAGTTGAAGTCGATCCTGTCATTATTGGTGGATCACATCTTTGCTTTTCTGAGTAGAGAAATATTAGTTAATTACGTTTGATAACGATTCGGAAATCTAGCTCCTCCTGTGATGCGCGGAAGAGACTAGTTGTTAGAGGACTGTCTTTCAGAACTCAACGCGCCCTATGATCAATGTGACGCATCTCAGCGAGATAGGATAGCTATGCTAGCAAGGTCCCAAGTAGTTAGGTGAATGCAAACCCAAATCGTGAGCGGCTTCAAATCACACAAGCTTCAACTTTATACAGTATCGATCCGAGTTGATTCCGGAGACTATAAAGCAATCCGCTGTTCTATAGAGTCTACGGAACACTCGAGAGCAATCAACTGTTCATCCTCGTGGCAGGCTTGGGCTATCACATACCACAAATCAATGCTACTCTAAACCAAACAGTAGCCCTCAAACAGTACGAAGCATTGCCATCACACGGAAGTCCACCGAAACAACCAAATACCAAAACAAATGCATAGATAGAGCGCAGGCCAAGGCTTTGTGTCCACGCTAGCGCGCCTTGATATGTACTCCAAAAACGAGCAGTCCCAAACAGCGTCTTCCACCTCCTATAAAAAGCATGTCTATTGAAACTCACTCGACCGACTGCGAGTACTTCGGTGGTCATCACGCCTATGAGGGTATTCATTACGACAAGATGGACCCTCCTACTACGAAGGAGGCTGCCGAGTTCTCTAAGAAGTTACGTGATGTAGCAAAACGCAGTGTCGGTGGCACACACGCTGACCGCATCGTTGCAGCAGATCTCCTTCGATCTGCTCTGCTCGATCTCGCCGCTTCCAAGAAGAACTTCGGGGCGGTCAGTGTAGACAACTTACTCGGCGAGGACACTTCGCGCGTTATTGATATGATGAAGACGGTAAATGAGGAGAGCGTTATGAAGGCCTTAAACGAGTTGGTTGATGAGCTGAAGATTCCCAAGCCTTCCATGCAGTATACTCCAACCAACCATGCTGCTGTACATTTCGAATCCTCTGGTGTCGGTTTCTGTACTGAGTGTTTGACCAAGAAGGTTGCGATAATGGAACTTCCCTGTGGTAAGGAATACGGCGGTAAGGCCTATTTGTGCGAGGACTGTTACTGCAAACGTGATGATGCTGGCCCTCTTTTCAAAATTCAATACTAATGTCATTTTTTCCACCATTTTTTCATTTTCATCCATTACCTCGATTGTGTTGCTATTCATATTGCCACTATCAATAACACAACAAAATACAGCTTGAAGCGATGCTAACAATACCAACTGAATTCGTTTCCCGATGACTACGACGATTCGCTAACAACAAGCGTTGGACGTAGTAAAGGGCAAACGAGTTGTTCTATCATCTGTAGAGCACCCCTCAATACAAAGAGGATTTAATCGACATAGAATCCTTCCCGATTTTACTCAATTGCAGTTCACCCAAGACTCACAGTATAAGGCCGACTGATCACAACGATAAGTGGATGAGGAGAAGACGTAACCGGCCACGACAACAACGACAACATTGGAAACATCGGTCGCATACAAAAATGAGGACAGCGATGTAGTAATGAGGACAAATCGATCATAGCATCAGAGCTTGTCATAGTATCGGGTCGAATTCAGCCCAGGAAGCAACGTCAGAGGAGTCACACGAGCTACTCTCCATATCAACTCCGTCATCAACACCGCCTTCTGGGACGACACCAGAGTTCTCAATAATCACAACCGTACGGCGATTCTCACTACGGAGGGACCCGTCGACAACCAAATAGATATCGAACAACCTGAATAACGTTGAGGAAATGCAAGATTGCAAGATATGGTTTATTTTCCTCCTCCTCCTCCTACCCATCTTGAGTTCGTCTAAGCAAACTCTTGACTTGAGCCACAGTGAGAGTGAACTGAATGACACCTCCCTTATAATCAATAGAGAGGGCCTTCCCCGACAGCCAACATGAGTTGCCCGAATCCATCTGTGATACCAATACGACAGAGTAGTCGAGCCGTCGACGAAGGGGACTGAATCGGGAACAACACTAATAAGAGTAAAACCACAACGACCACTTACGTCGACATTAATGTAACTAATCTCTCAGGGGAAACACTATGTGGTATCAACGACTTCAATCGTATGCCCGCTCCCTGCGGATTTCCAGTATAAACGTCCATCTCAGCGGGCGGCGTTTTAGGAACTGTACACAGCCGAAGCTGACACTGGCCCGTCTGGAATAACACATACAACAACTCCATCCATACCACTCCTCGCTCAACTCACCGCCGATAACGCCGAGACCAACATCCGCTTGTCACATCGTATCTTCTGATTCTCCCTCACCCAATGGGTGTCCGCCAACCCTACACCGCAATTTTGCAGCAGGGAGTCTTCCAAATCGCTATAGAGTCGATCGATCGAATTCTCGCCTCTCAAGGGTATGTCAAATCTAAGCAAGTCAAGTCGAATGACATCGACAAAAGCGCGCGCCCGATTACTTTGACATCAACTCTCCTGTGATACCACAGTGAAGGAACACTGACAAAGACTTATCGCGATTGTCGTCCAGTAAGGGGTCGAAGTCGGCGCTCTGCCAATCAGAACCTAAGATTTGGTCAAGGAGTGGTATGGCCCGAGCGCGCGGTGACATACTATTCCTACCCACGGATGAGGCCGGGGAGTGGCCAATCGAGCTGCCTGCCTGACTGACGATCTCGGATAACAACTCGTCGCATTTCTGATGAAAAAAGCGTCAAAACAGCTTCAGCTTCTCTCTACCCCAACCTCATCTGAGAGAGGCTCGTCGTTATCCGGATCAAATTCAATTGCCGAAACTGAGTCGTCTTGGCCTATTCCGGAATCGTCATCATCGTATTCGCCATACCATCCACACGGCGTTTCATCAATACTCCCATCTCGTCGAGACCCTGTCCCTCGCCGTTGATCGACCTGAATACCCACATGCTCCTACCCCGCACAGGTTCGATCCCCGGCGACCCCACCCAAATTTGCAAAGAGTCGCTCTCACTGCCACGTCGTGAAGGAACCGGAGAAAATGCAGCAGGGGATGGACACGCCTGAGGGGAAAAATCTACAAAATTTTCCCGAAAAAAAATTTTCCGTGAGATACCTGCATTAACGAGTGATATTTCAACAGCACTTCTGGAGCACAGTTCGGTAGAGGCGGCGAACTCTGTGGTGACTCCTTGGGTTCATACGACACTTCATTTTCGACCACTCTGATTGGCATCGACGGTAAAGGTCCAACCTAAACAACAACAATGACGCAACGTCACGCGCCACAAAATTCCCATCGGCGAAAATTCACAACGAATACCACATTTCCTTCAAAACAGCCTCGAACTCAGAAGCCCAAGCCGTACAACAATTTACTAATGACGTCTTTAACACCGCCCTCGAAATCGAACATGAGCAACTATTCCTCATCAAACACTTAGAAATGTTTACATTTTGGGTGTGGACAACCTCACGCCTCTCCGACTCCAACTGGCATCCTTCATCCTCTAGTAGCTGTACTGATACCTACACACAGTGACAACAACAATAGTGGAGTTTCACGGCCACCCTAGTGATATGAAAGACATATTTCACGACTACTGCATATCACAAGAATATCGCGTTTTTCACCGAGTTTTACATCACTTGCGTAAAACGGGTAAAACTCCAATGACAAGAATGATGACGACGAGTTTGACTACTTACCACTCGCCGCTCCCCACTAGGTGACGCTGTTGCCGTCGTTGCTGGGGTTGGACAGGAACACTCAGGACTCTGAAAAATAGTACATATCCGGGCCTAATCTGTATCTTCCACGGTCAACCTCAAGATTCAACCAACTTACCGTCATCAGTGCACCTGAAGAACCTCCCATACTTTTCAAGGGGGTCTTTCGCGGAGTCGACATCCCCAATATTTTCCTCACCTGAAACCTAACTAACATTACCCATACCGTAACACTACTACATCATCAGGATTCTCTCCCAAAGACAGCAATACTGCAGCTAAGTGAACTGTTACCGCATCATCCTCTCTAGGGGCGTGCCCAGGCTAACAATAAACAACATGAACAATCAGGAACTCAAACCATGCATTTTTTTCATCCGTTTTTCGCCCCGTGAAATGTGTTCTTCATACCACGGCATAAACTCCCAGAATATTTTTTACTACACTCCTCAACCCTCAAACAGCCCGGGTATAACGCTCTATGTACTTCACCAAAACCACGAATAAAATATCAACCTCAAGAAGTGCTGTTCTATTTTGTCTATCACCACTCGCTTGCCGTGATTGGACTTCTATTATCAGGAGATTACTATCCTTCCATAAAATGCCATATACCTCCCTTATTACATTCCCTTGTCGTTGTCGCTGTAGAGCTTCCATCAGCATCGCTTTAGCTTTCCTCAACAACTGTTGTCGACGTAACTTGTCCTTAGTAACGGAGGCTTCTTGCACCTAGCGAACTGGTGTGATACAACCCCTTACCACACTTTGCATTACACAGGCAATGCCGTTATGAATGAGCTCGTCTTCACTCAGCGATTGATACACAGAGGAAGATGCACTCCTGAAATAGCAAAGGAGTGGTATGATCATCAGCACTGACAAATCAAAAGTCATATACGTATAAAACATCATCAGAGGAAACCCGAACATATGCGTGCATAAAAACTTCGACACTTTTCATAATAAAAACGACGATAACAGTTATCTACGATGAACCGAGCAGTCTGCACTTGCTGGATAATTTCCAATTGGCATGGTATGATAATAGTGGTATCCCAACAAAGTGAGTTATCAACATTATCGGCTGATATGATGGAGTTTCACCAGGAAAATTTGAAAAAAAACACTAGTGAAAACCGGAAAA